CCAAATCAGCATATTAGAATGATTTCTGAAGGATCATGTAACATTATTTCCATCCATCACTTCTCTCTGCTGTTTCTGTTTCTCACACGCACACATATCTGCATTTCTCTCATGGGCCTCAGGGCATCATGTGTAATTATAAAAGTGTTTCCCAGCTCTAATTAACACTCAGCCTGATAAGCATGTAAAAGAACCGTCCTGCTCACGGGTGGATAGAAGCATATGTCATTCTTCAAGTGTGAGAAAGCTGGAGGCAAACACTGCTTTATGCCAAAACTTTATCCTGAATAAGTAATCCAAGAACAGGATGAGCACAATATGTGACACGTTGTGTTCGCATTGGTAAAACGGCAACAGTGATTTGCTGACAGATGCAAGCAGCAGAACCTGGCAGGCAGAGAAGCTGCCTGCACCTGTGTGTGTGTATATGAGGGATTTAACTGTATGTGCTCCATTAGGACTTCATTAAAGGAGATGTATCATGCAAACTACGATTTTTTCCTTTTTTTTATGTAAATTGATTGATGTACATTGAATGTTTACTCTAGTGTTCTGCATGCTCTAATTATGTACATAGAGATTAGCCAATCACAACAGAGGTAATTTACATGTTGAGGTCTTAAAGGTACAGTACCCAAAACAGCCTGTTTAATTTGAAAAGCATCACAGAGAGGTAAATCATGATGAAATCTCATATTTCTGTTCCAGGACACCTTAGTTAACATTAAACAGGGTAAAAAAGAACATGCTAAAAAAGCATGTGTGTATAAGGATGGACAGAAGTAGGTTAAAGTGGATTCTGGTCTTGAGTTGCCTCCGGTTAATGTGGACAGAAAAGCTGAGGACAGCTTTTGGATATAAAGAAGATTGGAAATGTATTTGGGCAGAGACATTTTCACAGTTCTTTGTGTAAGGCATAGTGTTTATCACTGCCATCCTGCTGTTGTGAACTAATAAACATTCTGTTGTCATGGATCAAAGCGAGAGAATATCTCAATTACCAATCATGTAAGGAGGGACAGAATTATGGAAAGCCATATGGGTCATAATTCGCGTGCTTTTCACCGCC